TTTCTTTATTTTATTTTTTTGTTTTATTTTATTTTATTTTATTTTATTTTTTTAATTTGCTCGCAACGACTCCCCTATGCAGTAAGAAAGATTTGCTGCCAACCTTACTTTTGGCATTCACCCCATTGTCACATGTCCCGAGAACCAGCGAAAAGCTTCAACTTGTTTCCTCCCGCGGGACTTTCTACAGTCTTCCAGTTTCCCCCGCAGGCGATCTCTCCGCCTAAGATTCCGGGTTGACTGTCGGTTCCTGAGATCTTCGACTAGACCGGGGTTGCTCGTGATCTCCAACCCTTTTTCTTCGTTCTTCGGCCCTTATATCTTCTTCTTTCCTTTCTTCTCTTGTTCCCTGTGCGTGCTCACCGCCCGCAATGAGCCAACTGGTCGCATATGACGTCTCTGTTGGATGGCAGCTCTCGGTATGTGATCTTATTTCGTGTGCCTGAGTCCACAACTCCAGCTTCACCCCGTCATCAACGGAACCCTTATTCCCTACTCCTCTCCCCCACATTCTTTCTCCGCGCGAGGAGGGAAGTGTTCTTCAGAGCACTTCTGCATAGATGCTGATGGCATGGCAGACGATATTCCGTGGATAGATTCCATGGCCCCATCAACTTCCGCGCAGGACCATGCTGATTCTCAGCCCCCGACGGTCGCTGCTTTTTCTCCTACTACCATCTCCGGCTCATCGCTGGCATCCCGACAGCGCTCTAGCATTATCGTACATCGCAAATCTCCTCTCCTGGTCGCGACTCCTCCACCGATCACTCGAGCCTTAGCCTACTCCCACCCCTTTATCTTACCATTGAATAAGCTAGTAGGCTTATTGACATGGACCACCGACGATGCATGGCAAAGTTTCCTCCTGGTCTCAATCTTCTGGACGATCGTCCTCTATGGTGACACCATCATTCTGTGGGCTGGCCCGCCCCTCGTGGTGATCGGTCTCATTCTAGGCATGTATTGGAGACGCTACTCCCCCTTATCCACCAGATCCATATCCGGAGAGAAACCAGGCCATCAGAGAGCTCCCTCGGAGAGCTCCCTGCGCCATCATGACAGCCTCGATGAGATTGTTGAAACGATGAGGGCATTCACGACTCGCTGTAACATGCTCCTGGAACCGTTTCTGGAACTCACAGATTTTTTGTCTACCCAAAGGACAGCTACATCCGCGACCACCAGACCGGCTCTGACCACACTCTTCTTCCGAATTCTCTTTGTAACACCTATCTGGATCGCCCTGACTTTGCCTCCCTTGCATCTCATCACCACGCGTCGTGTTATCTTGATCATTGGCACCATTATCCTCACCTATCATTCCCGACCAGCGAGGGTATCCCGCGTTATCCTGTGGAGATCACTAACTGTCCGCCGGATTTGCTCATTGATCACCGGCCTATCATTCTCATTGAACGTGGACAAGACACCGTCGGCTCGGACACAAAGCCACGGGCATGCCGCTAGCGTTGCAACCCGTCGACGGGGAGAATCTTCCGGTGTGCGCTTTACTTTCATTTTATATGAGAACCAACGGCGCTGGCTCGGAATTGGCTGGACCTACTCGCTGTTCCCGTCCGAGCGTGCTGCATGGACCGATGAGCACCTCAACAATGTGCCATCAAAGGATGAATTTGAGCTACCCGAAGTACAAAGCGGGAACGCCAAGTGGCGCTGGGTAGAAGGGGGTGAATGGCGCATCGATGGCGCCGATGATGCGAGCGCCAAAGATGGCGGGGGCTGGATCTACTACGACAATAAGGTGAGTTTTTCACGCCGATGGCGATCATCGTTCTCGAGTAAGCGATACCATTTCCTAACCGGTACATTCTCATAGTGGAACGATGGCCGTCGAGGCCAAGATGGCTGGGACCGATACACTCGTCGGAGAAAGTGGTGTCGCGATGCTGAACTCGTTGAGGTCCCATCGACCGCCGATTCGACGTCGGCGGAGGCAACGTCCGGCTTAACCCAGGCGCTGGAGAAGGAGAGGGAGAAGAGAAGGGGATCCGGAACCCTTGACGCTTCAACAGTCGATGCTGATTCCGAGAGTCTCGCCGGGTCAACCTCCAAAGCACGGAGACGACGCTGGTTTGGGAATTCGAAGACTGTAAGCGACAAAACCAGCAGCATCTCCTCCTCCACACTACCAGCCTCCAACAATAACTCGTCCGTAGATCTCGGAAGAATAACCCCTGCTACTAGTTCCAGCCGCCCCGGCAAAATCGCCTCCAGGCCGATTAGCATTCCGTCCTCGCAGAAGCTGTCGTCCAGCTACTCCAGCGGGAGCGGCAGTTTGGGTCGGGAAGGAAGCGTCCATGGCAGTGCAGCCCATAGCGATAAGAGTGCACGAGACAAGGAGATCGCACACTCGCAAGACCGCTTGGATCGCTGGGGTTCACGCGCTGCAGGGGGCATTGAGAGGGCAGAGCGGGAGATGGGGTTAGGTGACGAAGTCAATATGGGGTTAAGTTAGAAAATTGAGAATGATGTTACGAGCTGTTGAGCAGGTTTGTGATTCTGTGACCGGGTATATCGACGTCGGCTTCGTCCTTGTCTTTTCATCCGTCACACAAACCAATTCTTGTTTATACCCTTTATTTCATTCGATATATTAATTCTTATATAGCCCCAAAGACTGACCACGGCTAAAGAAGCAATGAGAGAGCATGCCAATGAATAATTAATCCGCCTATGTTTCAGTAGTCACACATACTCAATCTGTCCATAGGTCTAGGTGTCCATCCAGTATGCCAACTATACAAAATGTCCTGTAACGCCATGCTAATGTTACATCAAACCACCTTTTTCGCTGAACAAGCTTCACGCAAGAATTAGGTCCCACTTCAATTGCTCCAGTACATCCAACCAATGCTTTTTCTCCCCATTCCAGAGAATATTCAATAACTCCTTAGCCCGCTTCGTATTCCCGATCCCGAAATTAGTCTCTAATTTGCTCAGCGACTGAATAACCAGCTCCCTTGCCGCAGGGCTCTCGCTCTCACAGCCCGTGATGAAAAGCGGAAACGTTAGGGCCGAGTACTCGCAGTTTTCATCTAGAGAGAAAGATTGGATTCGGTCCAGGCAGCGGCGTAAAGCGACTTGTTTGGTCCGGGAGACGAACGAAGACCACAACGATGGTAGGTTTCGGGCAACGATGCCCTGGCTCATTCGTTCTAAGGTCGAATGGAGGTAAATGTACGCTGCGTCGCGGAAACACTCGGCTACCATGCGCAGGCGGGCAAGGCTTGCGTCTGTGGCTCCTTTGGGGATTAGGTATGGGGTTGAGGAGTGTGTCCAATTTCGGAGTGATGAGTCTCTGTGGAATGTTAACTATTCGGACCTTCTTATTCGGTTTTGGTACTCGTGATGGCATACATGGTGTGGATCTCCAAACCTAGCGCAACGGGGTCGTGACTAACTAAGGGAAGGTCGGCGATTCGGGGACAGAGTCTGATGATGTCTTCTGTGTATCCGATGTATATGTCGAGTTTTCTGACGCTTAAAGATTCTTCGCCGGGGATGTAGTTTGTGATTTGTCTGCGGTTAGTGACACTCGCCACGTTGTGTGCATACACGAACCTATAGGACTTGATTAGCTGTATGCCGTGAGTCATTGGGACGACTACATACAGTCCCCATAAGAATTCAGCTGTGTCCTGGTCGAACGTGGAAAATCCACCGCGAGAAATCACTAGTTTCTCCAATGCGCTCAGATGCACTGCCCATTGCTTTACGCTGCCCCGTACAATCTCGTACTTGCAGAGAAGTGCCACTGCTAGAATTGAGTCTGTGGGGAACCCTTCAACAGCAGATTTCGAAAGAGCGGAGCGGAGGCCACTCATTGTGCGCACGTAGTAATTTGCTGCTGCGGTCTGCGCGCTCAAGTTGCCACATGAGCGATTTGCCAAGTGCATTGCAGACACGGCACATAGCGCCTTCATCAAGAGTGGGGATGATAACGCAGAAGGGATGATTAATGATCGTAGAGGATTTTCATCACTTTCCAGGTTAGCCAAGAGCCTAGAACCCTGTTCCATATGGTACTGGAGATAGTGCAGGTCAAGATTCGACAGATGGCTGAGAGATCCGCACTGTTTGGGTATAATAACAGTACAGTTCTCAGAGTGAGCAACATCGAGTGCTACATCCTCATTTCCATAAGATTCATTATCTTCATCTCGTGGGGTGCATATCTCAGCTGCGCCGTAGTCTGATGGAGTCGAAGGAACAGTAGTATAGCCAGAGAATACGGTTGAATTGGGTGAGAGCTGTTCTACTGGTGCCGCCGGGGAGCTGGCAGATACGGAAGGCGACGGGCTAATTCGTCGTCGCTTTGGTGGCACAACTTGCTGAAAGATCTCTGCAGATGGTTTGAGTGGCTCTGCCCACATTGAGCCATAACCTTCGCAGGCCAGCCCAAGCCTAACACAACTACGACAGCTACGCCAAATGGTCAGCGCCTTTCGTGCATTGGAGAGCCGGGAAAAATCACCTAGGTTTAGCTTCATCGCACCGCTTGCGACGTTTCTTGCAAGTCAAGCAGCCGGAGCGAGTCCATTTTGAGCCCTCTCTTCTGGCACGTTTCCTCGTTGTGCCCTGAACAGGGTTTCTTCCGGAGACATTGGCTGTATCAAGTTGATTCATAGTCGGGAAATCTGTACAGCATTGCGGAACAATCTTATCGGCACCCTCAGTATGAGGCAAGTCACGCTGGCATCACTGATAAGGGCGGGGAGTGCAGGTTGTAACTTGAATCTCCGAACCCCGATGTTGCCCCTCGTTTTATCAAGAGAAGAGCTTGCCTTGAGCAAATCCAATGCTAACACTTCGTAGACCCTTCAAGAAAAGATAATTTGAGCAATCAGAACGATTTCCGCCGATGTAAAGTCATCGCCCGCAGGTCACGGGAGGGGGGAGATTCAGCGACTAGTCCTGAAGGGGAAGGAAATACGCCTGTTGATGGGGGATGGTTATGTAAGTCACTGCCGGCATGCCCGCATTTTCATACCGTGCGGGTATTGAAAGATACATACCGCCACGATCCAAATGTACAGTAGATCTTCCTGGCTCCAATAGGAGTATCGTCCCTTCCAGATCAGTGGAGATTGGATACGGTCGGTAGGTTTCCGCCCGGTTTTGTACACTTCTGGCCCCTACTGTGTAGTACTAGTAGGTAGTGAGGGTGGTCGATGTATTTCCGGGGTATGCTCGAGGCCGCCGATTAGAACATCTCCACTCAATGACAGCGACCTTACCCAATTCGGCATGTCCATGCGCCATGTGGAACGCCTTGTCGATATGCATCATCTTCCACGGCTATCTACGATACCCTGATCCGCCGTTATGGTGGCCATCGCCAATGCCAACTGACTTATATAAACACCTTCTCTCCCTCTTTACAACAATGTCGCTACATATCCCACTTCACCCCTTTTCAACATCATCTCCCGAAGACCCTTGTCGTCTGTCCTTGATACCTCTCCTACTTCTCCTCAGACAATCTCTATATACTATAGTGCCCTTACCCTGAACCCCTTCACATCATGTCATTCACATCTCAAGGGACAACACCGACAACTTCGGGAAAGCTTCACCCGTTTGACCCTGTCCGACCGGAAGAGATCAGACTCGCGGTTCGCATCCTAGAGGCATCGTTTCCTGGTGTTCCGCTTCGCTACAACCGCATTGATATTCATGAGCCTGTTAAGCAAGATGTCATTCCCTATATCGAAGCAGAACGGCTAGGACAGCCTCTTCCTCCCAGACCAGCACGTCTTTTGTATTCCTACTTCAGTCGTCAAGACACAGGCGTCTGCATCAAGGCCTTGATGAATGCGGATACGAGGTCTCTCATCTACGCAAAGGAGTTCCCAGAGGGAGTGCAGGTGCGTTCGTTCTCTTGCCGCTCTTTTCCCGGCCAGTCTTCACTAACAATAGCAACCAGCCCCCCATGGATATCGATGAAATTGCTGGTATCGAAGAGCACTGCATGCAGCACCCAGCTGTCCTGGCAGAAATTGAAAAGCTCAAGCTGCCCCCTGGCATGACAGTCTGCAATGACCCATGGATGTACGGAACTGATGACCGCAACGAGAAACGGCGACTTTTCCAATGCTTCATGTATATCGTCGAGGTCGACCATCCCGAGAACAACCATTATTCTTTGCCTTGCAAGTTCTCTCCTGTCTTTGATGCCCGTACAAAGGAATTGGTCCGTATGGATTATCTCCCCGGTGGCGCAGATCACCAGACAACCGAGACTCAGCCGTGGGTACCCGTCAAAGCAGTTCAGTATGCCCCAGAACTTCTAGACGAGCCACTCCGGACAGACCTCAAGCCATATGTTGTTCAGCAGCCTGAGGGTGCTTCCTTCTCGGTGGATGGCAACTCCGTTTACTGGCAGAAATGGCGCTTCAGGGTTGGATTCAATAACCGGGAGGGTCTCGTCCTCCACAATATCACATACGACAAGCGCAACGTTTTCTACCGTCTGAATGTCTCAGAGATGACCGTGCCATACGGAGGTAAGCATCACCATATCCCTCTCGAATACACCATTATCTAATAAATCCCCCCTAGACCCCCGAGCCCCCTTCCACCGCAAACAAGCCTTCGACGTCGGCGACGTCGGCTTTGGTCTCAACGCCAACCAACTCTCCTTGGGCTGCGACTGCCTAGGCCATATCAAATACTTCGACGGCTACAGATGCGACGCGAAGGGCAGCCCCATCCTGTTGAAGAACATCATCTGTATGCACGAACAAGACAACGGCCTGCAATACAAGCACACAAATTACCGCTCAAACGCAGCAACCGTCAAGCGTAATCGCCAGCTCGTCCTCCAGATGATCTGCACTGTCGCAAACTACGAATACATCTTCGCCTACATTTTCGACCAGGCCGGCAACGTCGAGCTCGAAGTCCGCGCAACAGGTATCCTGTCCACCGTTCCCTTCGACAACCTGAACGGTGAGACCGTTCCCTGGGGTACCAACGTCGGCCCTGGCGTCATGGCCCCCTACCATCAACACATGTTCTCTCTCCGCATCGACCCCGCAATCGACGGCTTTAACAACACCGTCTACTACGAAGATAGCGTGCCGCTCCCTGAGGACGAGAATAACCCCTATTTGGTGGGCTACACCACAGAACAGACCGTGATCCGGAAGTCCACCTCCGCAAACACAGACGTTAACCGTCACCGCGTCTTCAAAATCCGCAACGACAACGTTATCAACCCCATCACCTACAAGCCCGTTTCATACAAACTCATGGCAGTGCCTAGCCAAATGCTCCTACTCCCCAAGCATGCAGTGGGACACCAGCGGGCTGAGTTTGCCAGTAAGCCGATCTGGGTCACCAAATACCAGGATAATGAGCTGTTCGCCGCTGGCGAATTCACGAACCAGAGCAAGAAGGCCGAGGGTGTTGAGACCTGGGTCCAGAGAAACGACGATACAGAGAATGCGGACGTGGTCCTCTGGCACAGTAAGTCTTCCCTCCCTATCGCGAAGACAATGATTGCAAGAAGAAAAGGAAACTAACTTTTTTCGCTCAGCTTTCGGTCTCACCCACAACCCTCGTATTGAGGACTTCCCTGTGATGCCTATGGAGCGTATTAGTGTTATGCTTCGGCCGGATGGCTTCTTTACGAAGAACCCGGCTCTGGATGTGCCTCCTTCGTCCCAAGCATTCAATAAATCGACTCTTCACCCCGAACCGGCGCCGGCTGCGGCATGCTGCTCTGGGGTTGGAGGCAGCAAGGCGAAGCTTTACAAGCGTGTTGACTAAGTGAGATACGCTTGGCTGGTTCCGTTATTGTACATGAGACTTCTTTCTGTATATAGTTTAAATATAATGAGATGGATGGACTGATCTATAAATTGCATGCCTCAGTTTGATTTGAGCATACACGAAATCTACTACCATGGTTTCACACTATTCCATACAACAACCTCGAAGGAATTCGCCGTATACGTATCATTTCTATTCTCATTAATACATGTCTCCTGTGATTTACCACCTGCTGGCCCCATGTGGGGCCGAAGGTATACAAATCAAGATGGCTATAAACATACATAACAGCTATCAATGAAAACATACGTCCCTTCTTTCCCTTCCTGGGGAAATGCTTCCTAAGCTCTTTTCTTCCCGTAGTGGACTAAAATCACATTTTTCATTAACCCTTTCAAAGGTATTTCCTCCGTTGCTCCATGAATCATGTCATTGGATCCAATAGGCTCGAAGACAAAGTTCGTCCATGTATACACCGGGCAGGGAAGTAAGTGTAAACTACAACCGGTGACCAGTACTCACATGCTAGCGTCAAACTTATGCCTTGGGAGTGACGTGGGCGCTAGGCACGGCGCCGTGACCGACAGAGTCGATAGCAGCCTGACGGGCACCCTTAAGGCCGTACTGAGTGTTGATACCCTCGATACGGTGGGTGGAGTTGATGTTCTTGACAAGGGTGAGCTGCCAGCAGGTGGCACCACCCTGACGGGAGGTAATGGTCGAAGCAGCAAGGAAGTATTCCCAGATCTAAAGGACGGATGTTAGTTGTCTGTACTCCGACGTAGCAGTACATTGGCACGGAGGGACTTACTCTGAACCATCTCTTGCCGTACTTGGCCTCAACCTTCTCACGGTTGCCCATCCAGTTACGGTACCAGCGCCAGAGAGTAGCAGAGTAGTGGACACCAATGGTGTCAACAGCCTTGATCTCAAAACCAGCGGCTTCCAGACGGTCGACAACAAATCCAAGAGGGGTGCTAGCATCGGCACCGGGGAAGATATACTTGTTCATGAAAAGACCCCAGATGAGATCCTCGTACTGCCAGGACTTACGGAGACCAGCAATCTGGAGGAAGAAAACACCGTCGTCGTCCAGCATGTCATAAACCTGAGACAAGAAAGTAGTGAAGTGGCGCACACCGACGTGCTCAGCCATCTCCAGGCAAGTGATCTTCTTGTAGCCGCCTTCAACGCGAGGAGCGTCACGGTAGTCCAAACACAGAATACGGCTCTGGGAGTCCTCAATGCCGACCTTGCGAAGGCCATTGTTACCCCAGGCAGTCTGGTTACGACCAAGGGTGATACCGGTAACTTGGGCACCATAGTGAACAGAAGCATATTTGGCCAGAGTACCCCAGCCACAACCAAGATCGAGGACGGTGTCTCCGGGCTTCAGGCCGATCTTCTCACAAACCACAGCCAGCTTGTTGTCCTGCAGCTCCTCCAGGGTCTCCTCCCGATCAGGATCGCTGATAATACCAGAGGTGTAGATCATGCGAGGGCCCAAGAACCAAGCGTAGAAATCATCACCACGGTCATAGTGATCACGGACTTGCTCCTCATCTGTAAGATTTCACAGGTTAGCAAGGCAATTGCACGCGCGTAATTTGTATGAAGTTTTGATGGTGACGATATACCTTGGGAACGGGTGTGCATCAGCATCTCGGGGATGAAACCGAAGAGGAAGTGTTTGAAAAGGCCCATGGTGAAGCGGAAGTTGGCCCAATCGTGACGGAACTCGAGGCACTCCAGGGCATCACCCTTGAAGTCCACCTCACCGTTGAAGTACTTCTCGTAGAAAACCTCCATGGGGATCTTGCTCTTTCCGCGGTAGGCAGCACGGTCATGCTCGCTGTGAAAGTGTAGGTAGTGCTCGACGGGGCGACCGGCATACTTGGCCTTTTCGGTCTTGCGGGGGGAGATGGATGAAGCGATGGACCAGAAAGCCATCAAGATAGGGATAGTGGTGAAGATTGCGAAGAAGATGGTGGTGTAGAAACCACCGCCGACCTGGCGGGCCAGATACCATGGGATGAGCAGAAGCAAGGAGAACAGGAGGATGTTGGAGAAGCTATCACTGCCCGGAGAATCCGCTGGTACGGGGGCATTTTTGATGGCTGGGTACTGTGTAGGTAAAGTATTAGCGCGAGCTGTACAGAATTGGCACTCGCAATTGAAGCGTAACAAGCCATGTGTTTTCCATCCAAGGTCCGGACTTACCGACGTTGTCCTCACACCACAGGGCTCAGCGGCAGTAGTGCAAGAGGCAGGGGGAGTTTCAATGAACTCGAAATCCTCAGGGGACTGAGGATGGATCTTCGTCTCAGCCATGACGAATTGACTGAAGCGGAGGAGAGGGGAGGAAGGGGGGGGGGAAGAGAGGATGAGGAAGGAAAGAGAAAAGATGAGGGAGCGTGTCAGAAGATGTTGACCTGAGGCGGCCGGGGGGGCTTTAGTGTCCGTTTGGTTAGTTTGCCTTGCTTGTATTTGCGGTGGGCGCCGAGGAAAGGCAAGTGGACGATCAATTGATCGAATCCACCACCAGGGACCCAGAATGTGCCCTTGAAATGCGTTCTAATATTTTCTCATTTCTTGATTCAAGTGGCCTCAATTGTATTCACCTTCTACATGATTTGACAGCAGACTTATGGTACGAGGGAGTGGAAATTATATAGGCTTGTTTTTGTTTTGGTGTCCTCCGTGATACTCCCTTGGTCAGTACTGTACATACATAGTACGTACATACAGAGAGCTTTACCTCGAGGTAAATTGTCCCAGGGACCCAATTAGGCTTAGTGAGCCGACCCTAACTACAAGAGCGGTGAAGCCATGTCATCCTAAGGAATTCCTACCCCCTGCGAGAAAAGACGCAGGTTCATGATCGATTGATTGGGCTATGGATTTGTGGCCCTGAGAGAGACGTTTCGATTTTGAAATTGGGGGAAGATAAACACCATGCATACGTACTGGTCCCGTACCTGGTGGATATTCCTGGTCCAATAGATGAGGTCTGGCCGCAGAGCTTCACAGGCTATTCCCAATCACAATCGTCCGAATCAACCATTCCCGAGGCCCTTTCGGGTCCCGAAGGACAGTGCAACTTTGGGACCGAAAACTGGACCCAGACTTGCGGGAGGGTCCCTGAAACATGACCTAAATTTACCTCGACAATGGCACTTGTAGTACAGACTACAGACTACAGAGTACGGAGTATCCATTAAAGAGATAGTAAGCCACCCAATTTAATTGTACGAAAACAAACTACGTTCAACTTTGACTATCGCTCGCTCACTTTGGAAAATCATACATCAATTCTAATCCTGCTGACCGTAAACCCATGATACTTCAAATAAAACGCCCCTCCCTTGGAAGTCCTGTCTCATGCAATATGGTACCGTGCCGCCACCCCAATCGTCAAAGCTAAGAAAAACAGAGCTATATCATATTCCCATTAAAGAAGCAAACACCATAGAACGCTAACCCTTGACTCCGGGATATGAAACCGTGCTCATTAACCTCCGTTCACAGCGTCAGCTGGAAATTCAAGCTCTCCTCGTCTTCCTCATACACCGGGAGCACTTCCTCAAGATTGGCTGTCAGGTGACCCGCATCATGTGCAAGAGGCACCATATCGGTTTCGAGAGGAGGGGTCCCAGACGGGCGCACGTAAGTGTCAGCGGAGAAAATCCCCTGGGGAATTGTCTGTCCTTTCGTAGTGCTGGGCGATTTGCCATGTAGCTTAGACGACACGTCCCGGCCCTTGGTGTAGCCTACTGTTGTTTTAGAGTTTGCCACGGCTGCGGTATGGTGCATGGATGATGGGTTAGTTGGCGTCCTGGGCTTTCTCGACGAGAATAAGGACGACGCAACTCTCGGCTTTGGCTTTGGGATTGAAACAGGCCTAGGTCGGAGAGTGCGTTCGGTACCAGAAAGAGCCGAGGCTGCATCACGAGCGCGAACCGTTGGGATGTTGCTGGTATGCTTCTCCCGGGCGCTCATGGCGCGGGTACGACGCGTTTCATAGCGACGCGGCGGTGCTTCCTCAACGCAAGGCTCATTCTGCTCGTTGTCACTGGGCTCTTCAAAACCAATACTTTCGACTTGTTTCAAGATCATGTCATCCATCATTTTGTCGTATGCAATAGAATCCTCCTGAAGCTTGCGCTCCCTCTTGGTCAGACCATCGGGACCGATTTCGGTATGTCCATACACTGTTTCCAACCCCAACGCCAAGTTCTTCGGTTGGAACTGAGGGAATGTTGTATCGTATGTAATTTCATCAGGAATATCCGGGAGCTCTGTATATTGTTAAATACCACGGCCTTCTGGCATGCTCACGACTCCTTGGAAACATACCTTTCGGCTTCGGGGGCATGTACTCAATGTCGGGAACATCTTCTTCAACTGGTTTTTCCTGTACCTCAGCCTGGCTTTGCTCCACCAGCGGAGCAAACTTTTTCACTCTCTGTGTGGAGGCTCTTTTGCCTGTCTTCTCCGGCTTCACAGTCCCAGCGGGAGGAGCAGGGGTCTGTAAGCCACGAGCTTTCGCATTGGTTGTTTTCATGCCCAACGGCGCGCGTTGACGAGTCTCTGCTATCGCATCTGTCAGCCTCCGAGCAAGATGCGCTGTGTTATCCCTCCAAGCATACCCATTGGAGTAACAAAAGCATCCTTGACAGATGGTTTCGTAGCTCCATTCTGTTTACCAGCGCCCTTCACCGTTTTCTTTCCAAATGCCAGCGGGTCATTTTCATCGTTCAACGGGACTTTGAATGGTGTCTTCGGTGCGCGTGCCCCGGGGGTTTTGGGCTGTAGTTGTTTGACACCTTGATTCAGAGGTTTGGACGCGGCAACGGTCTGATGAGCGTGCACCAGGTTCTCTTGGTCACGGAGGGCCAGCATAGTGGCGGATATGAGACAGCACTGATCATGCACAGCCGAAAATATAGGTACAGGTTGTCGGGGTCGAGTCCGAGAGTCGTGTGAGATCGCGAGAATCGCTGAGGTCGTGAGGATATGGGGTTGTCTGTCTGAATCTAGACGCCCGACGCACCTTACCCAGCAAAGTGTTTTGCGGTGGTTGCCCGTGGAGACAGGCGGTCGATCCCTTGGGACCGGTCAGCAGCCAATCCGTGGGTTGGCCGCCACAGTCAGGCGCCGCCCTTACTACTGGCTAAAAGGGGTTAGAACCAAGCTGACCTGGGCTGACCGCCAGGAGACAGTCACTCCACCTTCTTCTTCTCCCAAAACCAACTCCCAACATTTGAACACGTTATTGATTCTGTCGGGTTTCTCGCTGAGCGAAAGCCCTTTAACTTGCTACTCGTATACATTCTTCTTCTCGAATACATATTTGTCTTTCCCCCGTACACATAAATTTAACCTTCTTTCGTCGTCAATATGGACAAGATCAAGGAGGTGAGTTTCCTTTTCCCCCCCTGTTGGCGGGGTAGCTTTTAAGCTCCCGAAAATGCACATGCATCACCCTTTCTCCTTGCGTGACCCTCCCTAATCATGCATTTCGGTATCCTGCCCGGCGGTGATTACAGGGATGCCGTCTTGATTCGCGTTCCCCGAATTAAATAAACGCGAAGATGGGAAAGGGGCTGACGGACAGCGTTTAGAGAATGGCCGCCCTCCGCCTGGAGGCTGACGAGGCTCAGGCTCAGACGGAGGAGTTTAAGAGCAAGATCAAGACGCTGGAACAGGAGAACCTGGCGAAGGAACAGGAGATCACATCCCTCAACCACCGCAACCAGCTTCTTGAGGGTGAGGTGGAGAAGTTGGAAACCGCTCTCAAGGAGGCCAAGGATGCTGCCAACCAGAGCGCCCAGCACGACACTCAGAACGAAACCCTTCAGAGACGCTTGCAGCTCTTGGAAGAGGAGCTCGAGAATGCCGACAAGAATACCAGGGAGACAGTTGAGAAGTATGGTTTTCCTTGGAATCCCTTTTCATCGTCCGCGAACAATTACTAATTACGCTGGTGTTCAATAGGCTCCGCCAAACCGATGTTAAAGCCGGCCACTACGAGCGCAAAGTGCAGGCCCTTGAGTCGTCTCGTGATGAGTGGGAAAGCAAGTATGAGGAAATGGCGAAGAAGTACGCTGAGTTGCAGAAGGATCTCCACGACTTGGAGGTTTCTATAAGCAATGTTTAAGGCTAGGGTTGCCTGCAGATGCAATATTCTGGGAAAACCTCGGCTCGAGCTTTCTTCTAACATAATAACTTTTTTGTTCCCTGCGTGTTGCAGATTACTTCATTTAGCATTTGCCATCAGGAGCCGAATCCAGTAGCATCTCTGTCTCCATCTTGTCATCCACCTGCCCTCTGCCTATATATCCACTTGCCTACAGTAACATAGACCATAAGCAATGAGAGTCTCCTCGGGGGTATTTCAAAGTGAACTGATTCGAAGACGCATGGATTTGTGAGGATTAACCTGCGCTACCGTTCTCTCCGTGCCTTTGCTTTCCTGCTGTTTGAGAGACGTTCTTTCTTGCGAGTGAGCTGGCGTTCCGCCTTGCTTTCGTACCGGAACTTCTTCTTCTTCTTTTTGGGTTTGTCCGATGCCTTCTTGGGTTTTTCTACCGGCTTTGGCTTGGAATCCGCTTCGGACGTCGGTTTCTCCTTTTCACCCTCTTGCTCTTCGTCCGAACTATGCTCCTGTGCTCGTAGCAAGCCCTCCTTAGAAGCATCCATCTCTTCTACTGTTACCGTAGTATACTTGTCTTCGTCAATGTATTCCGCTTCGTAATCCACTGCAGGTGGCTCTTCAAACCCTTCCCACTCCTCATTGTCTTCGTCACTTTCCGAATCTGAACCTGAAATGGCCCCATCCTCTTCTTCCCTAAGTCTCTTTAGTTGTTTTTGATGCTCTTCGAGGGCATTTTTGAACTCTGCTTCTCGTTCCTCCCGAATCTGTGCAGGATTTGCAGTTAATAAACGTACTTCTACTGAGATACTATCAAGGAATGACGAACTCGTTTCCGATCTTCTCTCTTCATCTCTCGCGCCTTCTGCTCTGCAACTTCCTGCGCATGTTTGATTCGTTGTTGTTTTCGCTTGCGAAAACCTGTGAGAAATTCATGGCGGGCAGAATGATCGAAGGTGATTTCTTCGACTTTGCTCGTCTTTCGCCGTTTCGCTTGGGGTCCCATGATATTATGTAGACAAAAAAAGTTTATATACTCTAGAGAGTAAAACAAAAAATAAGTGCGTTGATAATGCACTTAATGAGTGATATGGTTTCGATATAAAAGGGCCAAGTTTTTTTCTAAAAAATATTGCATGCACGATGATCAAAGTGAAGCTAAGCCTTGCCGGTGATTTGGGTCGACCGCCTCCGAGCCCCGTTCCGCCAATCCTCCAGCCTGTCTCCAACCATCATACCTCCGGGGACCCTTTCACCGTTCGGACAGCCTGTGCTTGTCTGAAGCTATATCCAATTCACCACTATGCATTTGAGCAGCTTCTCGCTGCTTGCTCTGGGAGCAGCAAGCGCTAATGCCTTCCGTGACACTTCGCCCTTCTTCCTTGCATCGACCTCTGAGTATGTTTTGGTGGCAGTCATTCGAGTTATCGCGGGCAGCTCCTCAAAGACCCAGCTAACAAGCTCCTTTAGGATCCTCTCTACTTCGTCCCAACTCAAATCCGCTCCCTCCTTGCTAGATGACCTTTCCTCGAAGCTTAGCTCGTGTCCCTCCGACTATTATGTCATTGCCTCCCAACCCGGTGTTCATAGCACCGATTTCTCGACTCGCAAGTCTGCTCCCCGCCTGGGCGCGAAGATGACGGGAAAGGATAAGACTATCCGGTCGACTGCGACAGTCAACGAAGTTGTTGGTGTGCTTGAAGCGAAGCAGATCCAAAGCATTATCGAAAAGGAATGTGGGGCGCAAACTACTGCTATTGATGGTTCCTGTAAGTCCTATGATTTCAAGGTCGCAAATAAATTGAAGATCTCGCTGACCGGGTGCTTTAGCTGGCTCTTATCCATCTGACTTTGGCCCCGACCCCCGAGTCCTTTTTATTGATTTCCCTGTGCTCCCCCTGGGGAAGGAGAGGGCTCAGCAACTTTCTGATAATGGTCTGTGAACAATCCAAGAATGCAATGAGGGAATCTTCTAACTGTCCTGCAGACGGCCTACTTTCTGATATTATTGAACGAATTCCTTCGTCGAAGAAGTACACCCTTCTCTATGTAACATCGCCGAGGGAATTTGGAGAGTCCGATTCGGGTATCTATCAATCTGAAACTGATCCCTACCAAGATCCCGTCCACATGGACTTGAAGCGAGACTTTGCGGCGCATAGCCGTCGTTCGGAGCCTGCATCTAACAAGTCACTCTTCCAGGAGTATCAATACTTCACACCAGGTACGACCTTGACATAAAGTGCCCCTTGAGCAATGTTAGTAGCGGGAACTAACGTTAATAGGCCTCTTCATGGGACTCATGGCAACATTTGTCTTCATTATGATCTTGTATGTCGGTTTCAGCGCCCTTGCCAGTCTCGAAGTTCCTTACGCCGCTTTTGAAAAAGACACGTCCGCCAGTGTGCAGAAGAAGCAGCAGTGATCAGTGGTTGGTGTGGTGAATAAATGTCTTGGAATTTGTTATTACTCCTGAGTTCGGCATGACAAATCGGTTGAAAGTCGGTCATCAATTGCTCTAGACCATCCGGGTTTTATCGTGTATGCTATGTTGTATATTTCATGCGTGTTTATGTATGGGTCTGAATGTTAGTTACGGATTTCCCAAAGCTTCTGTCATCCATTAGATCATCAACTATACCATATGTATTTGAGACTAGCGCGAGGGTTTTGTTGAGACAGAAGACCTATATATAGGGCATCACGTGAAACCAACTTCTCCGCAGAACCAGAGCCTAAGGCACAACGTACAAGGCCCGTGACGGGGCAACGGTTGTTGGTCTCGGATCTCCTGTCGCTGATCTTTGGGGGGGTTATCCCACTGAAAATTCGCCCTCATCTCTCGCTTCGTCATTTGATATAACCATCGCTGCCCTGAGTAATAGTGTCTGTCTTTCACTTGGCCATTCTATCTATTCTATACTATCGTTGTGCCCCAAAGTAGATCTGGTTTCTGTCGATCCAGTGTTTTGGTGGAGACTATCCGATAGAGATCCACGTCCCACAACTTGCGACAGACGGTCGCCATTGCGTCCAAACATAACTCTGACCACAAAGGCTGGTAACTCTTCACCACCTGAGAGTTTATGTAACGACTTGGATCGTTAGCGCGACATACCAGGCACAATCGTCCTGGCCCACAACTCATTCTCCTCTGAAACAAGTGACATCGGTATCGCTCATTCACTCGCTAGACTGTCTCAGCAATGAATCTTCGAGCCGCGGGCCTTCGCAAGGCCCGCCGCCAACCCTCTTTCACATGGCTTTTACTCGTCATTGCCGTCTTGATGATGGCGCATATATCTTTCGCCCAGGATACCACTGCGAATGACCCTGCGCCGACAACGGATGTATCAACTAAGGAGACGACCAAAGCTACGACACACGACGACACTACCACGACATCAAAGACCACGAAAGAGTCCACAACAGACAAACCAGCAACGACAACAACAACCGAGTCCTCGACATCTACAGACTCCAGTACAACCTCCACCGCAACGAACGATTACCCCGTTGTGACAGTGCCCCCACTCGCCGATGCACCATACATGCAAACATCAGATACCCCCGAAGGGACCGTCTTCATCGCCGTCGGTGCAGTTCTAGGCTTCCTGGGTCTCGCGCTACTAGCCTGGCGCGGCATGGTCGCATGGTCCGTAAACCGATCCGTCCGCAAAGCAGCCATAATGCAATCCTCCGAGGCAAAGGGACTCCTCCGTCACAGGAGAAAGAGATCTGCGCACCGCTCGCATGGCGGCCCAGCACCAGCCGTCTCCTTGGAAAAGATGAGCGGCGGGCATCGCACAAATCCCCGCTCCTCCAAGGGCCCAAGATCCAACAGTGGCTTGTTCTTCTCCCCCACGGCTGGAATGCACAGCGGCGGAAACAGAGGTTCAAGTTATCTTCCGCGGGGTATTACGCTGCTGGGAACGCTGCGGCCGGTAGTGGAAGCCACCAGAGTATGCAGTTCTCGGCGCCTGATCTTCCGGGCATGGGCCCGCAGGCACAGGGGTATACGAGAACAAAATCGGGACCCAGCCCACCTGGCACGCCTACCCATGCTCCTGGTGGTGTCTACGAACCCCAGTTTAACACTTCGAGATATTCCCACGTGGCGTCCAATAGCTCTGTCAATCTTGCATCTCCTACGCAAGGAAGGACTCCTAGTGCCTACTTGGAAGACCTGTTCGAGAACCCTCCTCCCCACAATAGACAGTAGGGTTGGGCGCTCTACCATTCCAAGACCGAACGAATGCTGTACCTGAGTTTCACTTTCCCCGCCCCTGTTCTATTCTTAGTTTTCCCTTTTTACGTTCGACGGCAAATATCATTTACATAATCTTGTTATATAGTGTATGTACATTTCTCATGTCATGAACAACCGTCTCCAGCCTTCAGGACTACGCACCTTTCTGGATAGTTTTTCACCTTGTCTCTTTGGTTTTTGCAGCGGTAATTTAGGCGACGGAGTTCACTGGAGGTCATCTAGACCATTATCCATGAAGCTTTTGGTGTGGTATTTGTTGATTTCTTTTTCTTGAGTTACATTTCAGGGTCTTGGGTCTCCCTGTCGAGAGTGCAATTTTTTTTATTACCCATATGTCCGTGCCGTAGTTGCATGTAGAAAATAAAACAAAATTAGAAAAAGAAAAAGAAACCTGCCACTATGTACTGCGCACAACGATAGCTCGCAATGCTTAGCAAATATCATACAGATGGTCACTTGAAAGTCTTTCGCTTGGTCGAAGATGCGATATAGGTGGTCTGAGAAATGGACCGAATGATGAGCAAGACGCTCGAAGGGCGTAGCAAAGAATAACAACTAAAGTGAAATGCATACATAATCACAGTAATAAGTCCTACATCCGTGGATATACCAAGTCATGTCATTTATAAAAAGGGTGGTGTTCAACAGCTTTGGAGTATGACTGCGGTTCAGTCTGCATCCAATTTGCCGTTAAACTCACCGAGAAGAATGTCATCAGGGGCCGGTCCACGGCTATTTCTGACTATATTGACCAGATTAGCATACATTATTAATGTACTCATAGGCGAAATGCAACTTACCAGATTCGGTCTCCACACGCAAGAAGATCCACATCCACCGACGTGCGACTTCAAGGGACATAAGCAACCAAATGCCCACCTCCGTCTCGCAGAGCCAGACAAGCCCTGGCATAAACCTGGACAACCATGAAAACCGAATAACAAGATCTACAAGAATAGCAAGATAGTATTGGCGATCCGCAAAATGGCGGTGCGGCGTAATCCGTAAGGATGATGCGCGCCGCGGCGCGATGAAGTAAGGAGGGTCAAGTCCCAATCTTTGGTGACGTCCCAGTAGAAAGAGTAAGTGGAATTCACAAAAGTGCACATGTATCTGGGATGTCATTAGCCAAACTCTACCCCTCTCAAACTTGTACACCAAATGCAAACAACATACAATAGTCGTGACAGACTCATCTCGCTGTATCCATAGCTCTCCAGAGGGTTATAGTTTCTCAGTTTGGAGGTAAGGTAGATAACGGGAAGCGCGGTAGCGTATTTCAGAGCGTTGGCTAGGTGCTGGCCGCCCTGATTTTCCAGTTTGAAACCAGCTCGACGCACACGCACATATTCAATTAAACACTGCCGAAGTCGGATAATACTCGGAATAGCAACGACCAGGGGAATCACCCAGTCGTGTCCGCACTTGCGATCAGGCTTGGATGTGCTGGAAACACCCGAGGTAAAGAACATGCAGAAGGTGACAACCAAGTCCGCTAGTACCTTAGCATAGCTAGTCAATGCATCGGCAAGTAGGATATCTCCAAACTTCCCATCTTGAGCTTCTGCCAATCCACCAATGCTGATTCGCTTCAGGGTCACGAGCAAGCGATGTCTACCAGAGCGCGCGAGACGGTTGAAAGGGAGGAGGATGATTATGAAGAAGATAATGAGATATGACTGCGGGATAAAATCCAGAGATTCGACCCTTTCAGTAGAGCCATGGGTAGCGGCCCAGAATATAAGCAGTGAAAGCACTAGGGGTATCGTCAAGAGAGTAGCTAAGTGGTATGTCGAGACATGGTGGGGTCGTTGGGACGAAGATTGACGGGCAGGATATCGGATGAGCGCGGGGACATCCTAATCGAGAACGGTCAGATATAATTCAAGAAAATACAAGCGAAGAGAGGGGTTAACCTACAATGTTCTTCTTGAGAAGATATTGGAGATTGACCCCCCAACCCCAGAAGCCTGTGCATTGGAATCAACATCGTCACAAATATAACATAAGTAGAGGGTCAGTATCTCTCGGCTTACCAGCAACCAGGATCACGGCCACACGATAGGGAAAAGGAAGAAAGAGACTGAAGCGATCCAATTGAGCATGTTGATCAGGACCCATATTCCATTGAAGCGGCGCGGGACTACAGCGCCAGGACGGAGAAGATAGGGGAGATAAGGGACAAGAAGGTCACAATTAAAGAGGAAGACCACAATAGGGGGGTCTAAATAGGAGAGCAGAAGCGAAAAGAAGTTGAACCAAATAAAGAGTGACTAGGGGTGAGTCTGAAAAACCAAAATTTACACACTCATAATTATTAGACGGAAAATGAAGACACTCAGGGACGCTTTCAGAGTCCAGGCGGTTCCGCGCGGCTGTTCGGATTGGGAGGAGGCACACTTGTCTGTTTCGGGTCTAACTCCTTGCAGGTCGAGACTTCCAAATTTGGCTCCAGGTTTCCAGATGGAAATAGGTCACGTGAGACATACCTCACGTGTGGACTGCCGAGGTATACCATATCGCCGCTGCGGAGGCTCATTCTCCAGGTAAATGATAACCACGTCAGTTGGCAATGATAAGACGGTAGAGCGAGCTTTCTTCGGTCAACCTGGCTTTGTACTAACACTTCATACTACTTCAATTGCACTATACATACATTGACAATGGCGGACGAAGATTTCTCTCTGTCTCCTGCCTCGGCGCCCAGTCCCTCGGCGCATTTCTACCCATTCGCGACGTCTCCGGATATCATTCGATCCCATGAAAAAGACTTATTCCTTACCTCAAATCTTGTACAGCAAGCTCAGAATATCATCCGCTCACTCCGCGGAGCCCGATTTGCTCATACTTACTCCGAAACCATCAAGAACCTGACCGAGATCCTATACTTTTCCCTGACTACCCTGATCGGCAACCGCACGTTGGGGGAGGAATACTGTGATCTTGTCCAATTGGAAGATGACACACTCCAGCTTCCTTCCTTTATCAGGCGGGCGGGATATATTGTGAGCAGTATCATTGTGCCCTGGATCCTTCAGCGGATCCTACCAGCTTTCCGCCAGCGACTACGGGTGAAGCTTGAGCGGAGCATCGCGCGGCAACAGCTTAAGGCTCAACAAGCCAGGGAGGGGACAAAGCCTAGCAGAAAAGATACATCAAAGGCACCATCCTTTTTCACGAAGTTACGAATTCAAAAATATATTCTGGAACACCTTGATTCCATCACGTCATTGAGTCCTGTCTACGCAGTGAGCATCGCGACGTTTTACTTCACCGGCGCGTACTACCATCTGTCGAAACGCCTTTGGGGCCTGCGATATGTATTTACAAAGAAGCTTGAGGAGAACGAGCAGCGGGTTGGGTACGAAGTGCTAGGAGTGTTGCTTGTCTTGCAAATCGCAGTACAAAGCGTGCTGCACGTCAAGAAAGTGGGGCTCAGTTTGCAGCAAGAAGATCTTGAGACAGAGGCGACCCATTCTACGGGTCAGGATGATACCTTGATCCACTCTATTGAGAACCCGCCAACGCTACCGCTTCTCCCTGCCTCTGATGCCCGGTACGATCTCTCAGAGGACTCCACTGCAATCCCTTGGATTCCCTCAGGGCAGCAAAGTAGGTGCACGCTTTGTTTAGATCCCTTCAAAGACCCTAGTGTCACCACATGCGGGCACGTATTCTGCTGGACATGTGTGCGAGATTGGGTACGCGAGAAGCCCGAATGTCCTCTGTGTCGACAAGATGTCTTGCTATCTAAAGTTCTGCCTCTGAGAGGTTAGTTCCAGCCATTTTCTCTGTATATAATATGGGGTATGGTCGCATATATCAGCGTTTGATATCTGGTCCACATATAGTCCTGCTCATCGCCCAGTTACTTTTTTTATGTTGTCGTTTCCGGTCTTTAGAGGAATATATACCCCCTTTCTCAAGTGACCTGTAATTAAGAGCATGCGAAGACCCACAATGGTTCATTTATTTCAGGTATATTGATTCCACAATTCTTGGCACGGCTTTTGTAGACTTGGCATAACAACCCCTGTCATTATATGAATTGAGGGTGAAGATGTGATGGTATTTTAAAGTCAAATGAATAGTGCCAAACATCGAACGCCTCCTATGAGCACGCAATCTATGCATTGCATCCGAGACATGATTTAGAACATCCCGAGTCCCAGTCATACCTAGTGTTATCCAGACTATTAACCACAACAAAGAGACCAATTTTAGGAACGTTCCTTAGTCTCCACTAGTAGATTATCTATCGGCTCGATAACCTCCACTTCGGGCTCAGTATTCACCGGGATCTCATGGACAATCCGAATTGGTAAATTCAACTCAGCATGTGCCGGTAATGGAGGCATGGGTTCTAAAGCCATACGTTTCTCATTCATAGTATTGAATAGACACACACATGCGAACGGATCGGCCGCAGCATCTATAAAACCAATCCTTGTTAAACAATCCTACACGTTCAGGGAAAGGACACACCTACAGTGAACCTGGGCATAATCCAGCGCAGATGCCCAATCACTACATCGAACCTCAACCTCTTTCGCCAGAGGAATCCCAAAGTGTTCTTCAACCTGGGCGCTCAGATTAACAGTCCTCTTATTGATGAGTCCTGGATTCGACTGGCTGTACTTCACCAATTTGTACAAATGGCTCAATTCGAAGATGGCGCGCGTATCAATCCCTAGGTACTTGCGCAATCGGGTACAGTCTGCTTTGATCGATACGCCAGCCTTTGTTATGTCCGGGGACTCGAGGATGCGTTTCAGAGTAGGGGGTACGAGGTCTCCCACACCCCTCGCCGGTCTAAACATAGCTATGTGGAAGAGTGCGATTCGCGTCGAACTCGCAAGCTGGATTAGCGATACGTTCTTTAGTATGCCGTCCGCCGCGGAGGCGTTGGCTTTCCATTCTATGTCGAGTCCAAGGATGGGATCGTCTGAGAA